GCTGCTGTGAGTGGCCGGTGACGGCCTAGGCCGTAGGCTGCAGTCCCTGCTACAGTGGGCTGCCATAAGCTACTGTGTGTGGCTGGCAGCCAGCGAGAGTGGCCGGCAGCTGGTGTGAGCTGCCAAGAGCTGCCGTGAGCGGCCTTCCAGAGGCCGGCGACCGATCTGCCTCACCTGGGAAGAGCACAATGATAATAGCAATATGGGCCAGTGAAGCGACGTCCTCCACAACTAGACTGAGGAACAAAAGGACAGCAACTTGTCCATTCCCCTTCCCCTGATTTCCCAGTGCTGTTCCCTTCCTCCAATTCCCCAATTTAAAAAAACCTTTAAAAAAACCCCAAAAAACAAAAACTTTGTTCAATTAAGTAAACCTTAGGGTGCAGGTTTGTAGACACAGCTGTAAGTCATTTGAGTTTATGAATCATGAAGTAGCATTCGCCACTTTGAACAAACAGGAACGCGTTGGTATAGAGTTCTTACAATCATTAATAGGTTGTCGTTTTACAGACTTTACAGTTTTTAAAAAGGGTCTTTGAGTAAGAGTGCTGTGTCTTCCAGTATCACTGGCGTGCAGGTGGTAACTAGATGCTCCTTCAGTATTTATTGGAACTAGAAGTGTGTTAACTTGCCTTCCCAGGATGAAGCTTGGGCACTTGAGTGGCTGTAATGCAGCACCTTCCTATCCAAGGAACATGACTCGGTCATAGGATAAAATCCTCTTTAGAAGCAGCTCCCTCCACTGCAGGCACTTGCACAAACTCTGGAGCCAGATTAGATCCTGGGGCAGTAGCTTCAGTGAGGAAGGAGTAATGAATGGGCTTATGTGTTTGCTTGGATTGGGAGTGCTGCATTGGTCCTGAGTGGCTTTGAGAAAGGAGGTAGGGCTTAGATGGGCCCAGGCGTTGTGTCTGTTAGGGTGATGATTAAAGGGCCCCGGTTAAGTTAGGTTCAGCTATAGATTCATTTATTGCTTTAAGCCATTTCAGGTTTTCAACCAAGTTACTAGAAGCACCTTTTACCAAGTTGATTTTGTCCTTAGATAGCTAAACTCTTCTTAGAGCCAAATTAATAAGATGGAATTTCTTATTAAGAATCAATTATTAAGTAAAATGGAAGCACTGGGCTAGGAAAGCAATTGATACAATTTGTTTTCAAAGCCTTCAAAGTACTGCAGTGTGCATAGATCACAAGGACTGGCTTAAGTGCCAAAGCATGGGGCATTAATTTTCTTTCAGAGCGGAGTCCAGGTTCACAGGATATCAGAAGTGCTGACTTGGCAGTGAAATCCCATTTGTAACATGTTAGATTAGGAAACAGATTGATTTATACATTGATGTAATGGATCAAGGCACAGTGTGTGCTTAAGAAAATGGAGAGCACGTTAAATAAGAGCATTTTCAAAGTAAAGAAGTACAAATGTAACAGAAAAAAAAGATCCTGTTATACTCTGGATAAGGTAGGGGTATGTTTGATTAGTTGATTCCTAGACAAGGTCCACAGAGGCTTTTTATGTTTCAGATGATACCTACTTGAGAGTCTCTTATGACCACAAGGATTAATCTTTCTGAACTCAAAAGTGAATCACTATAGCATATTAGCTGCCTGGAACGATTCCAGTTACTCTCCTCTTCATGGTGGTAACTGATGTGAGGAGCTGTCTGCTGCTTAGCTGCCTCTTCCTGTTGCTTTAACCCCTGGTATTTTAGATCTCTTTAGGGAAGGTAGCGCTGACCATTTCAGCACAAAGATCAAATGCACTTACCACTGCTGTATTGACCTCAGTGGTTGACCCATAAACTGAACATTTATACAGTTGGAACTCTGTGGTCTTTTAGCCAACAGCCATAATGAGTAACACATGGAACATAATCTTCGGTGCTGATAAATGGCTGCCTGCATAGTTTTGACCACTGCATAGCTGTGGCTTGGGTGACCTCACATAACTTAACTGATCCTGTGCCTTACCTGTATTCGTTTTTGGAGTTTAAGAGGTAAAATGTCCCCATCTTCCCCCTTCCCCCCGTACTTATGAAAAATTAGACACCACACCTGAAATTGTACTTGTTTAAGAGCTGCCTTTAATGTTAAAATAATACAGGGCCACAGAGAATTTAGGAAATACTGCTCAGCATCTTTCAGATTTGACTGTGGTAGTTCATATATGGCTGGTTTAGGAAACACTTCCTTTCTGACCTCTCAGTTTAGCTTTCTTGCTTACATATTTATCATGTCTTCCTGGAATTTCTTTATTTATTTCTACCTGGGCTTTTGAAGTAGGAAGGAAAGAATTTGAGGGAAAGCACTGGTTTCAATACACAAAAAAGCCCCTGGGGTTTCCTTGCCTTTGTCTCTCTGTGTACCGATTTTATATATGCCTATTTTCCTCCGTATCATAATCAAAGTTTCTAGCCATAATACTTAGCTATGGCTCCCAGAAGAAGAATGGCTGACACAAGAGGCATTTGGGGCATATCTTGAACTCATAGTGAGAATTAACGCATTTGTCTTATGCATCCTTTTGCCTTTTAATGATTCCTTTTGATTAAACGCCATTAGAGTATTACCTATAAATAAGTGTGTGTTCCTTTCCGAAGATACCTTTCAATATTTTTTCTTTCTTTGGGGGAGAGACAGGACTTCACTCCAATCTGTAGCTTCACATGCAGTTATACTGAAGGCTTAGAACCTGCCTTTTACTTTAATAAATGATTACCATCACAGGAGGGCTACAATCGATCCTAAAATAAAGTTGCTAATTATTCTCCTCAGTGGATTTAATTGGTGTTTTTCAACCTGGATTGATCTAGGCAACATTTTACTTCCAAATTAGCTTTCTCCCAGCTATCCAACAAGTGTTTATGCTTCCTTCTCTTGTACGTGTAGAAAGCAGGCTAATTTTCATAAGTTTCAAAGCAAAACGTGTGTGGGTGGTACATTTGTCCTGGAGAAGGATCATAATGTATTTGAAAATCAAATGTAGGCTCCTGATTGGAAGGATCGTTCATGTCTGTGTTGTCCATCAGCACAGATAAATAAGAGTTGCTTAGAAAGCATATATTTTCCATATAGTTTAAGTCAAATCTACTCTTGCTGTTATAGGCAAA